GGGAATGTCATTTAAAAAAAATGAGGCCTCTCCCTGCCCCCCCTCCCCTGGCTGGTGTTTGGAGAAGTACCTGTATTTTTAATAATTTCTTGACATGGTAAAAGAATTTTACATTATGATCCAAGGGTGGTGGGGTGAGGAGAAGGATCAGCAGAACAATCCAACAAACAAAAAGGGAAACAGAAATGCATGGTGGAAGGGATTTGAAGGGTGGGTAGGGGCATTGCCCAACTAAAATGCAATTGGTTTGTTACTGAGTACTATTCATGGGAAGACAGCATCCTGACTTCTTCTCTATACAGCATATTGGGAGTAAAAATGATACATCCAGGTGGAAATATGATTAGGGGTTGGAAGACAGACAGGGAAAGAAGAAGTCAGAAATAGACACTGAGAGAGTCACTGGCTGGCTGGCTGCAAATACTGACTCTCCCGTAGTGATAGAATAAAAAAGTGGGGGACATCTCTGGAAGATTCAAGAGATAGGGGGCAACTCTTCTATGGTTTTGACTTGCCCAGCAGATTTCCACATACACACGTGTACACACCTATATTTGCATGCACACACATATACACATAACTGACTGCCCTCCCTGGAAGCACAGAAGAAGAAGAAGCCGCCAGAAGAAGAAGCCACCCACCTTTGGTCCAGGCGCCAGCACCTGCGGCTGGCTGCAGCCCAGGAGATGGACAAGCCACCCGCCCGAGGTCCCAGGCTGCAGCCACCTGGAGAAGCTGCCAGCCCTGTGGTCCAGGGTGCCAGCGCCTGTGGCCAGGGAAATAGGTTCCCTCTTCTCCTACTGCAGTCATTACTTCAATATTCCCCTTCTGAATTTCTCTCCTGTGCTGTAACCCAACTCCACTTTTCATCAGAAGGATATGGAACAGAGAGAGCAGTGTTAAAAGCTTACATTTTTAAGCCAGTAAGGTTGGTACTTAAACATATAAATGGAAAACTAGAGTCCTTAAGGTAACAAAGGCTACAAAGGACAGGGACAGCACATGACCTATTTTATCCAGCAATCCATATGGGGACTGAAAACTTTGCAATGATGACAATTTGTGAAGATATGAATCAACTAAAATAGTTGACAGGGACAATTCTTCCATCTTTGAAAATATCTACATCAAATCTGTTTAAATAGATTTTCATCTGCATAATATAACACATTCTGACAAGACCACCACCACCAACAGTGTGGTCAGTATTGTGCCAATAAATGTTTAATAATTGAGGGACCCCCCCCTCCCCCTGAGTGCACAAATTTTTGTGCACCTGGCTACTAGTTTGTAAATAAGAGTAAAGGAATTGATATTCTGGTGCAAGAGACAGAGCATAAACACCCAGGTAAATACACGCACAACATGATTTCGGATAGTGATACAGACTGGGAAGGAAAAGCAATGGGGCTCTCAGATGGAGAGCGATGGGTGTGAGGAGGAGGTGAGGATTCGTTTGTCACAAAGGGTGTCCCCACAGGAGCGGGGGTGCAGTGGGAGGAAAGCATGTTGGGGGTTGCGAACCATCGCAGTGCGACAGGTGATTTTTGCAAAGTAACGGCCAGGGTTTTTACAGCAGCTCTTGCCCAGCGTGGGCCCCGGGAAGCTGCCCGTGCATGACCCTGCTTGATCTCAAGGGCAGTGACAGATGTTTGCCATCCCAGCCACTACCGTCCCACACTGGAAAGCAGAGGAGACACTGCTGCCTCGCGTGGGCAGCTCGCATGCAGTGCAGGAAGCAGTGGTTCTCAAAGTTGAGCAAAGGGAAGTGGCTAGCACTTCAGACATGACACTCCTTGAGGCTTAGAGGAGACCTTTTTAGGGCAAAGAAAAGGAAGTTTTACTTTACCAGAGGTTGGTAAGCATAAGAAATTTACTTTCTTAGTAGAACTCGAGCTAAGGTTAGTGGGAGACCAGCAACAATACTGGGGACAGAGCTGTAACTGTCTGGTAATGAGAACTGTGGACTTTGGAAGGGTCCTCACCTTGGGTGACCCTGACAGCAGCAGCTTGGGCTCCTGTGATGCTGCCTGGTGCTGTGTTGGCCAGGGCATCAGAGATGCCACTAGGGCAGGACCCATGACCCCAGCCCAATCCTCCTGCATCTTGCATCCTGCAGTCCTATTCCCTCATTCTCTCCTCACCTGTGCTACTCCCAGAGATCAAGAGGAAGATACAGTTTTTTGGCTGCAGTGAAAGCACTTTCCTTTTAAATGACTAAACTAATTCATTATTGATTGATTTACTCTAGCTTTCTGAGCTCTTACCTTTATTCATGATACTGTTGTAGAAAATAAACTCAAAGATTAAAATGTGATAGTTCATAGTCCAGCGGGGAGAACTGATGGTTTTTATAAATGACACTGGAGGCCCGGTGCACAAAATTTGTGCACTTGTGGGGGAAGTCTCTCAGCCCAGCCTGTGCCATCTCACAGTCTGGAAGCCCTCGGGAGATGTCCAACTGATGGCTTATACCGGTTCTGCCACCACCACTATACTCAACAGCCGTGAGCCTGGCTCGGGGCTTCTGGTTGAGCATCTGCCCCTGGTGGTCAGTGCATGTCATAGCTACTGGTCTTTCTGCCAATTTGCATATTATTCTTTTATTATATAGGATTACAAAACAGCTCAAACTAAAATGTTACCCGTGCCCTCTCTCCCTCAGGCTTCACCCGTCACATACAGAGCTTTCATCTTCTGCACCATGTTCTCTTCTAGATTCCAGGTGTGTACGTTCAGCAGCCACCCGGACTGGGTATCCCATCCACACCTCAAATAACACATGACTTGAATTGAATGAACTGTCTTCCTCCACTGCCCAAGAACAACCTCATCCTTCTGTGTCTTCTTTCTCAATAAATGCTGCCGTCCCTGATTTATCTAAGCCATAAACAAGAATACCCTTGATCTCCACCTTCAGTCCTCACTAAGTCCTGTTGAATTTACCTCCTAAATACTTCTAGGGCCTCCTGTCTATCCTGATGGTCATCTCCATAGTTCAGACCTTTTCTTCTCATCTGTGGGTTACCTAGGCAACCCCCAACTAGCCTCCTTATCGTATTTGCCTTGTTCAAAACCTTGGTCCACTGCTATCAGGGCGGTCCTCTACCTTTTCTTCTTCAATGGTTCCCACTTGCTTTTGGAAGACAAGATCTTTCATATTCTGGACCCCGTGGCTCCCTGTACCCACAACATGCCACAGTCACTGCCAGTCTCCTGCAGGTGCCCCAGGACGCTGTGCTCTCGCCCAAGCTCAGTGATGGCATGTGCTGCTCCTGGCGAGAAATCACTCTTCTGGGCTCAGATCAGGACTCAGCCCCTCAGGGAAACAACATGTGTCTAATTTTCACAGGAAAGTCACCCAGGTAAGTGGCCAGGGGTTAGGAGATGTGCTCAAGCTTACTCAGCTAGCAACAGACAGAAGCGAGGTTCACATCTCGTCCAATCTGGTTTTAGACTGTGATTTTTTATCATTTCATGATGTTTTGTTCCACTGCAGTTCTGAGGAAGGAAGTCAACGCAGTTCCTGACAGATGTCCTGATTCTTCTCAGTAACACAGATGAGGTCCCCCTGACACAGTTAATGTCAGGGTTGAGGGGTCACTTCGAGAAGTTAGAGGTGAGTAAAGCTCAGAGCAATGGCCGTAGGAGAGGAGACGAATCTTTGGTAATCCGGAGGAAATGCTTCTCAGAAGGAAAGTTTCTTCATGTTATGAGGTCATAGGCTCCCAGACCAGTGGGTGTCACAGTGATGATAGCAGTGACTCACCCACCTTCTGCTGTTCCAGAAGAGGGAGGGAGTGGGAGGCTGGGCAGTGGTTAGGCGACCTGACTCCTGCCCCTGCAGGGATCTATTCCTGGGCCTCCTCAACGTGGGCACAGGAGGAAGTGTGTGAAGGGGTTTCCCCAACATCTGAGGGCTCCAAGGGGACAGGAAAAACAACTGCTAATTTCCAGACTCAGAGTTGGACACTTGTTGTCAGGGAGATGGGGTGTCTGTGCTTCATACACCTCCCCCAACACACTTGGTGTGGCACTGAGCTGGGAGCAAAGAACCTGGTCTTGGTCCTCTCCCCTGGCCCATAGCCTGCGCGCATAGCTAACATTTATTGGCACTTAGCATATGCTAATAGCTTTATGAAACAGGTTTTCTTTGACCTTTCTTGAACTAATAAAGAAACAGAAGTTCAAGGAAGCACAATAACTTGTCCAACGTCACAAAGAGAGTCAGTAGTATGGCCCAAATTAAACCAACAACAACAAAAAAAAAAAAAAAAACCAGGTTTATCC